TCGGAAGGCCGGAGGAGGGTCTTCCTTGGCTTGTTCCCTCCCCAGCATTTTCACAGACGAGAGACTGCTTCTGGTGCCCAGAGCTGAGTCGGGAGAGCTGAAGAGAGGCAGGTGCCCTGTCTGGGGAAGCTGGGCCACCTCACCCTCCCGCCCTCTCCACCCGCCCCCGCCTGTCTCTCTCTCTCACACACACACACACACACACGCACACGCACACGCACATGCACATGCGCACGTGCGATTGGTGTGCAATGAAATGCTTGAGTCTGCAGTTCCAGAAGTGAGAGTTTCGCGGGGAGGAAGAACCAAGGTAGGGGGGGACACTACAGGTGAAGGAATGAGTCAGGGAGCCAGCTGCTGCGGGGCAACGAGGGGGGGGGTGGTGGAGGAGGTTGGGGGTTGGGGGGGTGGGGGTGGTCAGAGCTCAGAGGCACCACAGTGAGGATTCAGGCAGGTTCTGGTGGTGGGGAGCCCCAAGTTCTGGAGATGACTAAGTGGCTTGCACTGAGAGGATCCGCTTAGTAGGAAAGAGGTGAGCAGTGGGGGCCAGTGGGGGCTCCGTAGGGTCAGGTGCTCACCAACATGACAAATGCCAGCACAGTGGACACATGAACAAGGAAGAAGTCACTTTCCTTGCCCCCTGCTGTGGTCAGCGCATACAATGGTCACGATCAGCCACTACAAATAACCTGATTCCACTGTGAGTTGGGAGCTGGCAAGGGTCACAGAGCAGAAATAATGCAGCAGGTTGCGGGTGAGGCAGAGGAACCACCCAAAGACTGTTTCAACACTTGTCTGCCAAGGAAAACTGAAACCAGCCCAAGTACCAGACCTAGCTTTACAGGCCTTGAAAATAACCAGTGGCCTGGAGTTTACCTAGGCAGAGCAGGGGTTAGCACGGGGAGGGGGAAACCTCCTCAGCTGGGCCCCAGTGGCACTCATCCACCAATGCGCGTTTCAACTCAGGTAGTGGCCCTGGCTCCTCGGGGTGGAGCGCTCGGTGGCAATTCTTGTGGGTTTTCACCTACAGAATGGAAGAACCCCGCAGCCCGGAGACACTGGTAGCTCCTGGGTGCCAGGGGCAGGAGCTGTCCCAAGCAGGGGAGGAGTTCAAGGACGTGTGCATGCTGAAATCCTGAACTGGAGGAGCCACGAGATCAGTTGGCCTGTCATGGGGTTCAGATTTGGAAATAGAGATCTCAGCCTGGGGCTGACTCAAAGGGTGATGAAAAAAAGCCTTTCTTTCCCAGGGAAGTGAATCCATGCTCACAGCACTGGTGGGTGTGCATCGGGGCGGGGAAGGAGGGGGGCCTGCGTAGAGGCAGGCTTTGTGCTCAGCGGGGTGGGAGAGACGCTGAGTCCATCAGAGCGCTGAGGAGCAGTAGCTCAGAGGGCTGGGGAGTGGCTGTGGCCGGCTTTGTGGGGAGAGGCTCTGAATGGGGCTGGTGTTGAATCACTCAGCTGGGAGCTACTGAGCTCTGGCCAGATGTTCCCGCTTGGTGCTCCCAAGACCACCAAGAGGTGGCCACTGGTATTAATGCTCCCATTTTACAGATGAGGCTGTGCAACCTCCCCACAGCGACACGGTGAGCGAGCCGAGAGCGTCAAGAGAGGTCGGGCCTGCCCAGGAAAGGCTCTACAGGGGCGGGAATGTGATCACGTGGGGGAGGGACAGGAAGGAGGTGTCTGGAGGGGCCAGGCATGGGTGGGGGGGTTCTGGAAACCATGTGGAGGAGTCTGCATCTGATTGCAGAGTGGCTGCCACAGAGCGGATGGCTCTGTCACTGGTGAAGGGACCCTTCCGCAGCTGACATGCATTGGCCACTGCTAACTCAGTACTTTGTTGTGTCAAACAAAACAAAAAACCCGGCACAACCCGGTTCTTATTCTCTGTCCTCTCCCCACCCAGACGTGCTCAGGGTTTGGTGGAAGAAGACTGTGGAGCCAGAAGGCCCTGGAATTTCCTATCCTCAGACTTCCTGATCCTCGGCAACCTCCTTTGTTTGTGCTGCTGGTGCTGGGGGAGGGCACAGGACTGTCGGCCCCACACTCTGCCGGGGACAAACCACCAGGCAGGGGAGGCTGCTTTGCTTCCTTTCTTTCTTTCTAACACGAGGCCAGGAAGCGAGGCATTCTCCCAGCAGCCTCCCGAGAAGTCTCCATCCTGTTCCCTGTGCCCCTCCTGCCCCACCTCCTGGGGACAGGAACAGGGCCCTGCCTCTGGGGCCCAGCACAGGCTCGGCTTTCCCTGTAGGTCGGTGGGAGAGGGAGGAGGGAGGGCTGGCAGGGGTGGCCCTGAGAGAGCACGTGGCTGACCGCATCCAGGGAGGCCAACATGGCCGCCGAGATAGGATCTCCAGGCGCTCAGTCCAGGCAGGAGAAGGGAGACCCTGCCAGCTGGCGAGGATGGGCAGGCAGTGATGCCGCTGGCCATTAAGCAGACAGGAGAGTCTTTTCAACTGTGAGGCTTTCTACTGGCAGTTCCAGAAACCAAACCCTTCCCGTTTGCCCAGTGTCCAGGTTGTGGACCCAGGGTGCTTGCCTGATTGGGGTGGGGACACACTGCTGACTGGGGGTTTCCCTGGCAGTCTTGTGTCTAGTGTGACATGTGAGGGCCAGGCCGAAGCTCTCCCGGCACACACTGCACCAGGCACCTACACTAGCGCTCCTTTCAGTCACTCCCATTTTGCTGATGAGAAACAAGTCTTGCCTTCTGGGAGGCTCTGGCCAGGTGATTTTGCCCTGACACTGCTTCATGCCTCATTTCCCCAACTATAATCAGGACGAATAGGCTGCTCCACATGCTCTTGGGCGCTGTTACGAGCAGGTGGTGCTCAGAGAGGTCCCCTCATCTACCAAGGGACACACAGCAAGTAACAGAGGCACACCCAGGCCGGCTGTACCCCAAGCTCTGTCTCCTACCCGCTCTGGGTCTCCTCCTCGCCTTGCTTGGGGAAGCTGGGGACAGAGAAGTGACATTCCAGGGGGGAGTATGCCCCAGGGGAGAGGGGCCAGAACCCCCGGAGCTGGTTTATATTCCAGGCGGCTCCCCGCTTATGCTCGCTCCCTCTCTCCCTTCCTCCCTTTCTCCTCCTCCCTCTTCCTCCCTGGGGCCAGGGCATGGTGGGGGCAGCACTGAGAAAAATCAGGCTGTGGCCTGGTGCCCTCCTGGCCATGGCCACGTGGAAGCCCACAGAGGAGAAGGATCGCAGTGGCCCTGGGCTCACTAAGGAGCAGGGGAGTCGAGGAGTGTCCTTGACTCCACCGCAGAGCAAGGAAGCAGAAGATGGAGCCTGGAGATAAACCCAGAGCAGCCCACAATCTCAGCCCCTCTCGCTTCACCTCTGTTCCCCCAGGCTAGTAGCTCTGTGCCTGCCTCTACCAGTTGCTATGGAAACAATCAGGCCAGAACTGGAGGGGACAGGAGCTGGGTGGGCAAGGGAGGGCACGAGCCCCGGGGGCCCAGACCCAGCAGGGAAGGCCCTCCTGGCCCACCTGCGTGTACCTTGTGCCATCTTGACCCAGGAGTTGCAGCTACTCAGCCAATGTCTGACCACGCATGGAGCACTATGTCAATAACTGCAATGGCCACAGCACTCTCCTACACGGGAGCCTGGTTCTGGGTACAGGGATTGACCCTCAAATCCCATCAGCGCCCTAAGAAGGGTACTATTAGTAACCCTAACTCACAGATGAGGAACCGGAGACACAAAATCATGTCAGCACACAAGGTCGTTGAGCCGCAGAGCCAGGACACCCATCCCCCCAGCCCAGGCTGGAGCCGCTGCCCTAGGCCAGGAACCCAGCGCACAGGAGGGAGTAGCTGGATTCAGTCCCTTCCCTCCTTCTACTGTAGCTTTCCCGTGAGCCCCTTGCCGCAGCCGTGGTGTAATGGGCAGGAAGGGCTCCCCACTTCTGGACACACAGAGCCCACGTGAGCCACAGACACTCCAAATGAGAGGAAAACCCCATCCGACGCCTATGCCACAATTCCTTTGTTTTCATCTCCTTGGTTTCCTTGATTTCGCCTTCCCCACATGTGGAAAATGCCACTTAACCGCCACTGAGTCAACGGCTCCCACTTCACTCCAGGTCTGTTCCCATTTGCAGGTAAAACACCCACTGACTTCAGCAACCTTTGCAGACCTGACACCCAGGAGCAGGCGAGAGGCCTGATAAACCGCCCACCTGGGTACCATTGCTCAGGGCGGCGTCATAATCATACCAGCCGAATGTATTGGCCTGTCTTGCTGTGCGAAAGCCACCTGCCAACAGATGGGCCCCAGATTTAGTGGAGGCCTCTGGGGATGTGCAGGTTGAAAGAATATGTGTATGTTGGCGGGGCGGTGGGGGTGAGGGAGAGTAAGGGTCCTTGCTGCATCTCAGTGGGCAGACCAGAGCTGAGGGTCTGGATATTGGCCCAAGTGATCAACTTTGGCTGGTCACAAGGGCTCTGGGCATTTTAAATTCCAGCCAATCTTTTAAGATTCCCTGGATGTGCAGAAAGGAAACAAACCCGTCGGGAGAACCTACTACTACCACCGGCAGGTGTTGTGGCTGCAGGGCAGAGGGGAGGCTGTGCTCCTGGTCTCATGAGATCTCACAGCCGGGTCAGCGAGACCAGACCCACCGGGGTGGAGTCAAGGGTGAGACTCAGGGAGCAAGAATCACAGAGCTTCGAAAATGGGGCACCGTGGCCATTTCTGTTTGGAACCTCAGAGGGAGAAAAGAGTCTGGCCTGGGCCTTAAAGGGCAATAGGAAGGTACTGTTGGTCTCTAACTGAAACGTGTCATTTAAAAAAAAAAAAGGTAAAAAGCAAAACAATGAACCCAAACAAGGTTCTCTGGGTAACCCCTGCACCCACATTGGCCGCTGGGGATTGTGGCAACTATTGGACATGCACATATTTGTCTGTGCTGGTAAGGGGAGAGCCTTCTAGTGGGGGAGCCCCTCCCTGCACAGCCTCCCCAGGTCCCCAGCAAGCCCGCTGTCCCCCTACCTTTGGGCTCCAGGCCATTGGAATTAAAGTGCATCCTCTTCTGACATTCCGTGCAGCTCATCAGGAACCGGGTCACAGCCTCTCGAGGAAGGAAGGCGTAGGTCTCTGCAATCTGGGGGAGAGAGGAGGCTCGCTCGGCATGTGGCTCTGGGGGGGAGGCTGCTGGCTCATGGGTCACCAAATGCTGTGCTTTGGCAGCAGGTTCCTGGCCCTTGACAGGAAGGGTGGGGATTCCAGGAGGGGAGGGCAGGTGTCCTCCATTCTGAGCCATGGAAATGAGTCAGTACTTTGGTGCAAAACTGTTTATTTCTAAAATTTGAATACAGGAGCTTAAAAATTGACAAAGCAGAAAACATTTCAACAGTGTCTAGTCTTTAACCTATGTTCTAGTAAGTAATATTCCTCTTGGAACATTTTATTGCAGCTGCTGAAAAATGAGCTTATAAACCTTGCTCCAGAGTAAGATAAAACAATTTTCCCTCTTAGAGATGGATAAACTGAGACCCACATATAAATCTACTGACTCTGGGGCCTGTAAACAGAACCCCAGGTTCTCCAAGATATTTCCTGCAATAACTCACAGATGAAGAACCTTTTTAGGGATAACTGCAAAGAGAGGCTGATGCCAAGGATCAGATTTTTCAAGTTGGACAGGCTCTTAGGGACGCCTGTGTTCCAGGTGAGGTCATGAGGCCCAGAGATGTGAACTGATTCACCCAAGATCACACAGCTCTTCAGAGGCAGTGCCAGAGCAAAGCTCCTGCGCCAGGCCACAGGGCCCCACAGCTGCCTCCAGAGGCCCCCCTAGCTATCAGGGAAGGTGAAATAGATGGGAGCGAACACAAGAAAAAGGCTGGGTGGGGGATTGGGGAAGAGGGGCGCACGAGACCAGAATCCCAACCCTCTCCTCTTGCTCTGGGCTTTGGGAAATCCACTGGCTCTGGTTTAGCTGCCTTAGGGGATTGGAGGACCTCCTGGGTCCAGGTTCCCTGGTTGAGGCCAGTAGCTGCCCAGTTGCTGGTTTTCGCCTCAGAAGCCGGGCCCTCCCTCTCCTCTCCACTAAGGGGCAGCATCACCCCGGCGTTCCGCCGTCCTCGCCGCAGCCCAGCTGGGGAAAGTTGGCGGAGGGCGCTGGTCAGCGGACAGGGGGCGGGGGCTGCTCTCCGGGACAGCACCGATCTGCTCCCGGGGATGCACCTTGCTCCATGGAGGCCAGGAGGCGGGAAAGGGCAGGTTGGTGGGTGGGGTTGGAGGGAACTGGGGCCCCCAGGCTGCAGCCAGGCCCTCAGAAGATCAGACCTAGCTGCGCTCCCAGCTCAGTCGGCTTGCGGAGTTCCGGGGGCCACTCCCGCCTGGCGGCTGGCTGCAAACGCAGAGTTAATTTTGGTGACACAATTGTTATTTCTCAGCTGATTTGATGCTCTGCGGAGCAGGCAGGCTCCTTGATGAGTTATCTCCCTTCCAAATTCCCTATCTGATTGCCTCCCTCTGGAGGTCAAGGACAAGGGCAAACCCCGGTCTCTGATTGGAACTGGTAGATGGGAGGGTACCATTCAGCCGTGTGGCCTGTCCCCCTCAGTACTGGTGCCTCGGGATGGGGCCTTTCCTGCCACGAACTTGGACATCTTCATTCCCAGCCCTGAGCTGCCGGGAAGCCTCAGGGGCTGCGCGTCCCTCCCATGTTTGCTAAAGGGTGACGGCTAGAGGGAAGGGTATTGACCGGGCAAAGTGGAGGCCTGTAGTGGACTTGGGCCGGCACATGACCACATAGGCACCCTGAGGTGCTGTGTCCCAATTAAGGCCATAGAAGAGCAGAGTGGAGGGACTTGGGGGAGGAGGGTCGCAGTCTCCCAAGGAGGAACGGTTCACACCACAGGGACATCCCTGCACAACTCCATGGAGCCTGCCTGCTGCTGGGCAGAGAAGTGTATCTTGCAGGGCTCAGGGAGTGCTTTCCTAGGCTGATCACTTTGCGGAGGGCTGGCCACGGGATGGGGAGCGGCCCTTCTTGCCACCTGCTCCCTGAGGCAGAGGAACAGTTCCCAGACCAGGCTCCGCCTGGGGGCCGCAATGGGGACCACAGTTCTCCTGGCCTCGCAGGGCCCCAGAGCACACAAAGGCTGGCAGGGGCACTACAGGGAGGGAGAGCGCCAAGTGTACTCCTCTGGCCCTGGGCTCCACGGAGGTGGACGGAAGGCAGATGGCGGGAAGTCCTTGGGGGTCCGTGGTCCAGGGAAGCCCTACCCGGCGTGGAGGGCATGTCTGCAGCCTTGCTGAGAGCTCCCCGGAGTCCAGAATGGCAGAGCCAGCCCAGCTCTGTGCTGCCACAGGCGCCCCCACAGAGGAGGATGCCCCCCTACTGGGACCTTCAACCTTCAGAGGCATCTTTTGGTTCACCCGTCCTTCCGGTGTGTCACAGCGATGCCTGCGGCCTCGGCACCGGATGACCTGGAACTAGGAGGATCCCTGAGGAGGCTCCAGCCAGGGATGGTGGCTGGCAGATAGTTTCAGAGCTACAGACACTGTTCTGGAAATAGACTCATCCTGAAGCTCCAAAACATAAGATGAATCAAGATGGAGCTGCTGTGCTTAGGAGGGGAACTCCAGGACCCCTGTCCCCACCCAGCTTCCCTCAGCCGCCTGCAGGCTTGCTTGGGGGGTTTCCTGCCTGGACATTGCCTTTTACATAAATGTGCCTTTTATGTTTTTTCTTAGTGAGGTAAAAACTGAGAGAGATTTCACTGGCGGAGAGAGCAGGAGCTATTTGCAGAGTCGCTGACTTGCAAGGCCCCATTTTCCCTCCCCAACTCAGAGGCCGACAAAGACAGATGAGGCCAATTGGGGGGATTTGCACCACTTTACAAGATCCTCCTTCTGCCCTGTGGGTGGATTAGCACGTGGTGGGCCTGGAGCAGCTGCTGACCACATCTGGCCCCAGCTCCAAAGTGGTCTGGGCAGCCAGATCTGGACTCCGGAATCCGATCTAGCTATGGCACCCTGGGAGAGAGGAAGGAAGAGCAAAGGGCTCCCCCCACCCCCCCGAGATGGGTGCACAAACCAGAAAAGCCCCTTGAAAAAATACTAGTCCTTCATGGGGGCTCCTGGAGTTTGGTAGAACTGCTCAGAGCCCTCCCCTGCTTTCAACCCTCCACAGCATTGGCAAGACCCCCCAGGATTCTCTGACCTTAGATCACACTGCCTCGGGGGGGCAAGTAATGCAGGAACCCCCTATGCTCCCCATTGTAAAGGGCCATCTACCCCGGCTCCCGGACCAGCTGTGGAGAGCTCATTGCCTGCCCTCTCTGGTCCACTGCTGGACAGTGGTAGGTGCTAGAAAGATCTTCTTCCCACTGAAGAACGTGCCTCCTGTAATGCCCTGTACAAGTCAGCCCATCTCCCTTCCAGTTCCCGTCTTCCTACAGGCACCCCCGGCCTGGAAGAATCCAAAATGTCCCAGATGCCCTAGAGACAGTGAAGCAGTCCCAGGATTCATTTTTGGCAAAACATTCAGTCAGGTCCAAACCCTCCTCAGCCAAGGGCCAAATGCAAACCCCGTGGGGCTAAGCTGTGCCTCTCTGCAGCCACCAGCATCAGTTTCTTCAGGGGCTCCCTTCCACAGGCATGGATGGGGTGGGGGTGTCATGTCTGCAGAGTGAGGCTGAAGAGGTAGAGCTGGGTTGAGGAAAATGGGAGATGAAAAGAGGGGGACAAAAGCAGCCAGGCACCACCTCCTACCCCCCAAAAAAGGGTGGCATGAGAAGGGTGACAGATGGAGAAGAGGAGGAGAAGGGAGAGGAGGGAGGTGCAGCCCCCTTGGCCTCACACCCACTGCAGGAGGCCTGCTCCGCTCAGCCTTGGCCCTGCTGCTGAAATTCCAGCTCTGTGTGCAGCCCAGCTGGCTCACTGCCAGTCATGTGCCAGCTCCAGGCTGGGCAGAGGGAAGTGGGGCACGCGGCGGGCATATGGACGAGAAGCCAGGAAGTGCAGAGCAAAGGGCTGGATGTCCGCTTGGCCCAGGGACCAGTTCAGCCCTGCCCTCTCCACAGGATGAGGCCACAAGCCCCGGCCTTCATGAATACCCAGGGAGAGCCTGTGGTGAGTCTTGGTACTGGGCCCTGAGGGGCCAGAGGAATCGCCTGGCCAAGCCTACCTATCGGGACACAGCAAGTCATCGGGCTCACTAGCCAGGTGCAGGAGGTGTGTGAGAGGCAGGGTGTGCAGTGCTTGTGGCTCAGGCCCTGGGGCCGGCTGCATGGCTGTGAGCCTCAGAAAGTCGACCTTGAGGCAGGTTCCACGTCTCTGAGCCTCATTCTACTCATCTGTAAAGTGGGGGTACTTCCTATATAGATTCTTCCCATGAGTGAAGGCTCAGAATCAGTTCAGGAGGAGTGCTGAGCACAGGGCCTGGCAGATGCTAGCCACCCGGCACTGGCAAAGTCAGTGCTGAGAAAAGGTGCTGGGTCTCATCACCACCGAAACCCCACTGCCTAGCCTGGGCCTGCCCTTTATCCATGATCCTCGGGAGGAAATGCCCTCAGAACTCAAATTGTTCCCCAAAGCATAAGTACTGTAAAGCAGAGGGCTGGGGGGCAGATGGTATCATCATGCCATTCCCCTCAGCCTGGCCGACCCCTCTGGTCACTCTGAGGTCTTTGGCATAACCTTAAGGTTTGTTGAGAGCAAGGATCATTGTGAGGACAAGGACAAGCCAGACTGTCGGATTTTTTTTTTTAAAAATCAGGCCATATGGGGGAAATCAGAGACTTACAGAGGTCACCTCGACTGCAGTTCAAGGCTATTTATACAAAGAACTTTGGGTTGGGGGGTGGTCACATCTGCCCTGGGTGGAAAGGCCTGGTCACAGAGGGCATGGCTCCCCGAAGCCAGAGTCCACACTACTGTGAGGCCTGAATGAACGTCAAGTGTTGGGCTCCACTGGCTTGGTGGTGGGCACTGGGGCAAATGTTTCAGAGCTGTGTATGAGCCATGGTGATATAGCGTCATCAGGTCACACTCCCCTCCTCCTCCCCTGTGTGACATTTCCTACCCCTAGCCTAGGCCTTCTGCCTACCTAAAGCTTAGACTGCCAGCTTACATGCCACCTTCTCCAGGAAGCCCCCCCTGGTTTAGCACTGAACTCTAGTATCGAGAGGTGCCTTTGTCGAACGCCCAGGTAGCTGGGTTCTTGTTTCCTCAAAGCTGGTCTCGGAGATATTTCTGCTTCTCCTGTCTTGGTTTTGTTCTCAGCTTCTCTACCCAAATCAAACTGTGATCTTGAGGGTGGAGACCAGGTCCTCAGAGTTCCCCTGGGGACTCCCAATACTGACTTCATGGGGTTGTAGAGGCTCAAATGAACTCACACATAGGAAGCATTCAGGACAGCCCTGGCACACGGTAAATGCCACTGAAGCGTTTGCTCTTTTAATTATTATTATCTAGCCACCCCCACCCCCCAACCGCCACAGCCCCGGGAGCAGGCTGCAAGGGCTGGGTGGGGAGGGAGGAATAAGTGAAGCAGAAACCAGGAGGAGGAGGGTTTGCTCCTGCCCTCATCCCTCTCCTTCCCTCCCTCTCATTCCCTTCAACCTGCTTCTCCTTTGTGCTCAGACCACAGGACCCGCCCCCTCGCCCCGTGAGCCATCTCTGGCTGCCATGCCCTTGCCCTGTGCCCCCCTAGGTCCCCAAAGGCCGTTTCATCACGCCTCAGCTCCCTGCCCCGCCCTCCACCCAACATGTGCAGAGCCCGTGGCCTCTTGCCAAGGCCTGGGGCTGCCAGCAGAGGCAAAGAGACAGAAATCTCACCGCTCGGTAGGTTTTCTTCTGCCCAGCGTGCTTGGGGGCTTTGCCTGGCTCCGCTGAGCTCTCCACATGCATCGAGTAGATGATGTCAAAGAAATCTTCCACCACAGCGACCCGCTTCAGAGAGATGCCCTCCGGCTCCGACAGGCCATCTGCCCCCTGCGACAGGGTGGACAAGCTGTGTTAGTATCAGGGAGGATGGAGGGTGAGAGCTGCGCCCCGAGGCCGCTGGGACGGGTTGGGGGCAGGGATGGCGGCGCTGCTCCCTGACCCCTGCAAGGCCTCCTCTGCCAGCGGTAGGTCTGAGGGGTTAGAGGTGGAAGGCGCCTGCTGAGGGGCCCCCCGGGCGGGGGGTGCCAGAGTCAGGGTGGCTGCCGCTACTAAACCACAAACAATGGGCAGGGAAAGACAACAACCAAAATACAAATTAAAAAACCAGGAGGCTCCATGTTCACAATTTCAGACAGATTGTGCCAGACTCAGGCGGGGAGCTCTTGAATCACACGCTGTGCCAAGACCATCCTGGGAGTCTCTGGGGAGGGGGGAGTGCTAAATAGATGCGGCCCCATCAGGAGCTCGCCAATTAGCAGTAACCTTTCACTGTGGTCCTGGGCTGGGGTCCCAGGGGAATGCTAGGATCACCTGGGTGACTCCTGCCTCCGCCCTGGCCTTTCAGCAAAGCTTTTCACCACTGCCCGCCCTCCCCACTCCAGCAGCTGAGCGCCAGCAACAGCACCCGGGCTCTTTGTGTGTGGAGCTGGAGAGAATAACAGACACGTGGAGGTGGCAGGGCCGCGTGAGCGCCACCCCCCCCCCCAGCCTCTTATCAGGCTGGCATGAGTGCTGTCAGCTGGCCCTGGCAAGGTGTGCCAGGATGGAGGTGGGGTCCTTCAAAGCAAAGAGCTGCTTGGCCCAGCCAGCCTGCACCCTCCCCCCCAACGGGGCTGGGAGGGAGTGGGGAGTCTGCAGGGTATGACCACTCCTTTTGCACCAAGCACAGAGACTCAGGGACACAAGCTCTCAGCCATCATCTCCCTAAAGGGACACTCAAAGCAAAGGGGTGGGGGGCAGGAAGGGCAGGAGTTGGGGAAAAGGCAGGTTTTTCTCTAAAAGTGTCCCGAAGACAAATCTCTAAGACATTTGTCTTCCCCAAAGGATCCCACGCAAGAACATCAGCTCTGTGAGGGTATGGGCTTCATCTGTTGGCTCATGGCTGTTTCCTCAGCATCTAGAACAGTGCCTGACACATAGTAGGCTCCATGAATAACCACTGACTGATTACTGACCGGCAGCCAGGCAGGGCAGTTTAGAACTGCTCATCTGGTTTGGACAGGGCGCTGTGTAAGTGGCTCTGTGCAGTTATTTTGCTTCTCTCAGTGTTGGATCCTTGATCTAGAAAATGGGGAAAAGAGAAGCACCTTTCCCAGGAGTCACAGAGAGGAAAAAGTGAGATGTGCATGCAGCACTTAGCCCCAAGCCCAGCCCATAGGAACTGTGGGGAAAATACTGTTATTAAGAAGTGCTTTGCCATTCTCCAAGCTTTTCCCAGCTAGGATATCAGTGAACATCACAACCACGCCGGGAGGTAGCTAGGGTCAGGGCCTGCCTGTGGGACAGAGGCTGGGAAGTAGCAGAGCTGTCTTGGGCCCTTAGTCTTCGAAGTCCGAGGTGCATAAAGGCCCTGCCGAATGGGACAAGCGTTCACAAAACATCCAGGGTTTGGTTTTATCCAGCAGCTTCCCCAACATGCCAGGAACAGTGAGCAAGGGCTGTCTCTCTGCCAGGGGCCAACTTGAGAGCAGAGAGCAGATGGGAGAGGAAGGGCAGTTGGACATCTGAGATGTAGGGTACCAAACCCTAGAGCCAGCAGGCAGTGCCTGAGTGATGACTCTGAGCGGTGACCTCGCCAGCCCTGTACAGGCCCTCTTGCCAATGGCTTCCTTCCTGGTCAGGATCCAATTCAAAGGGGACTTTCAGATAGCACACATCTGGGGTGTGGGGGTAAGGTGTGCGCCTGCATAGGGTGTGGGTGAGGAGTGCTTACTGGTCCTTGCTGTGAGATTGTGGGCAAAATCTTCAATCTCCCTGAGCTTCACTTATGAAATGAGCTGTAAAACCCCATCTCTCCTCTGTTTCTAAACCCAGGAGACACTGTTACCTCTTTCTTGGGGGGTATCTTAAGTCCCCCTCTTGAAATCCTGAGCCATCCGCAAGGGCTCATCAGTGACTAACTCATTCATTAGTTGACTTATAACTCGCCAGCATTTGGGGGACCTTGAAATACTGCCACCATAGAACCAGATGGAACAAATGTTCTGACAGGTCAATTATATTATGCTTCTAAGGAGAGCCTCATGTTGGCAAAAACAAACAAAAGAATCTTAAGAATGAAAATATAACTGGGTTTCTATTTCTTGATTTGGGCGGTGGTTACGCAGGTGCATTCAGTTTATAAAAAAGCATTAATCTGAATAATTACAATCTGTGTACTTTTCTGTATGTCTACTAGATTTTAATTTTTTATTGTTTACTTTTTTTTTAAGAAGCATGATGGCATGGGTAGTGCTGCCACATTTTGGTGATCTGAGCCCATGGTGTAATGATGGGCTTACCTGCTCAAAACATTATTTCAGGTCAGAACACGGATATTTCTGGAAAAGGTCAATAAAGGAGGGAATAAAGACAGAAATTTGATGAAAAGATAAGGTTTTAGATGGGGAGAAGGCAAGTGCTCCCTAATCAGCTCAGTGATCTCAGGCAGGTAATTTCTTGACCTCTTACCTGTTAAAATGGGCCTAAAAAAGTCCCAGTTGGATGTTCCTAGGATAAGGTAAGGGTAGATGTCAGACAGCTGCCACATACAGGCTTGTAAACATTCTCTTTGAGATTTAGGAATCTGCCCTCACCTCCTGCCCCTCTGTTCCATGCAGGTGAAAGCACAGCCACCCTCCTGACCGCCAACCTCCCCCAGCCACCCACCCCAGGTCAGCCCACCATCAGTAGCGCTGCATAGTCTTACGTACTGTAATTCCTAAGTAACACGCCACACAAACTTGGAATGAGCCTCCCGCAGCCAGGAGTAGCTAACCCAGATCAAACAGCAAAACACTGCCCAGCGCCTGGCCCTCCCACATTCACTCTTAGGCAGCCATGAGGAACCAAGAGCTTTGCACCTGAAAGTGGCCACAAAACTATCCCAGAGAAACTCTTCAGGGGAACATTTTCAGTAGTTCCCTCTTTCAAAATTGATTGCTCTCTTGCCTGGTTTCAAACCCGGACCCCGTAATCAGTCTACCTCGACTGCAGAGAGGACACAGGAAGGGAGACGGCCTGCAATGGCCAGAATCCACACCATTTGAACTGTCCTCCGGTGAGCTGTGGCCACCTGGACACCATGTGTGCTACACCCTCAGGGAAGAACACCAGGATATCTATATGGCCTTCCAGGAGAACCCTGGGAAGAGAACAAAGGGATCCCACAGCCGTCATGTGCTACAGACATCTCTGCCATGCCCTGAATCCACAGAGGCAATAACCTTCATGCTAAATGCTGCAGGAGAGGTGCCTTCCCTAGCTGAGAATCCAGACACAGCACCACCAGGCAAGAACTGCTAATTAAGAGAAAGGAAAGCACCTTCCCCATAGCCTTGGGACGCCTCTGCCAACCACTTCTGCTTTGTACCCAAATTAGCTTAATCTGATCCACTGCCCTAAGAAAACTGGGCCCTGGATTGACAAAGGAAACTCTGTGTCATTTACAGGCTAGATAAAAGGGGGGGCCTGGAGCCTCCTGACTATCCCGACTTCCTGGGAAGGCCAACCAGGAGTGATGGAATGGCCCCGGGCAGCACCCCAAGGGAAAAGTCATGAAAAACACGCCCATTGCCAATTGCGCAGGACCGACCTCTGGGGCCCTGGCGCAGGGGGGATAATATTGCTATGGAAACACACACCATCCTTTTGAACCATCCAACTCCAAAATAGCTAGCCAGACCCAAGCCAACTAAACCAGAGCTGGAAATAGTTTTTAAAAATTCATGGAGTAGCTTTCTTAGACAGCATCATCTTCCTTAAAGCCAGCCCATCATCTAATGCCTACTTAAATACTGCTGATATTTCAGAATATTTGGAAGAGTGGTCCGCAAAGTGTAGTCCTCACCTGCATCAACATCACCTGGGGAACTTTCTAGAAGTGCAGACTCTCAGGCCTCACCACAGACAGACCAAATCTAACACTTCTGGGGTTTTAACAGCCCCCTCCCAAGATGAGTCTGATACAGGACTGATTTTAAGCGATTTTTGATTAGAATATTTCCATGATGGAGACAGGAAGATAACTTGTAGGAAAACTGGGATTGGCTCATTAAATGTATATGCTCTGTGCTTCTAGGCCTAATATATGAATATTTTCTTCTCCAGTAAAGGCCAATTTTCCTAATAGTGGGAACAAAAGGATCCTACTGGGAAACATTAGTATATATTCTAAACACCTGCCCAGATACTTGCTGTGGATTATGGACAGAAAGGCCGCAGCCTCTGCGGCGCCGGTTCGATCCCCGGCTGCTCCCCGGCCACCAGAGGAGGGTCCCACATGGTGCGCAGACCTCTCCTGCCGCCCACTTCTCCCCTCAGCAGTGTACTTTGGTCCTTCTGCCTGCTCTGCTCCCCGCTCTGGCTCTGGTGAATTCTCTCACCCTCCTGTGCTTCTGACTATGCCCAGTGCTTGTATAAATAAATGAAAAAATCTTAAAAAAAAATTAAATTAAATTAAAAAAATAAAAAATGAGTGGATCCTGGGATCAGCCCCACACTGAAAAAAAAAAAAAGTTATTAAAAAAAAAAAAAAAAAGAAAGGGCCATGTACCCCACTCCAGTCCTGATCAGATTTTTAAAGCCTCTCTGGCAACATGAATTGATACTCAAGCAGGTCATGCCCTGACAGGTCTTTTCTGGCTTCCTCAGTTTCTCCAGTGATCTGAATACTCAGCACGTCTGCTACATCCCGGGTTGCAGACCTATTAGGGAGATCAGCACGTCTTACCAGGCCATTAACCAGGGCCCCACCAGGGTGGCTCACCCTGCAGGTGAGCCTCTGAATCTGACTGAATCTTGCCTGTCTCCCCACTAAGTCAATTAAATGGACCCCTACCCTTGGTGACAGGTGAGATCCAATTGCTAATGGATTGCAATTCTGTCATCTCCGTTGGAACCTCTAAGTCACTTGCCTGTAATAAGTTATATACTTAGCAAGGTGGGCGCACTGTTTCAGGCCACCAGGATGCCATTTAGTGTACCACTGTCACTATATTAGTGGTGTGTGCCTCCCAGCAACAACGAGGCCACGGTTGAGAGGATGTGGCTAAATAGCAGGGACATTTCTCAACTGGGTTCCTAGGTAAAGGGAGAAACCACAGAGAAAGTCCTTAGGAGGTGCCTTTTTGGTGCATCTTAGAACCAGCTCTTGATAAGGTATAAAAATCAATGAAATTGCTGTCAGAGGGGAAAGTCAGCCAGCTGAACACACCCCTGGGGAAACACCCTTGGTTACCACTTGTGTGGGAGCCCAAGACTTCAGGGGGTTGATTGCACAGGCAAATGTGAGGAGGCCACGCCATCCCCTCCGGGCCAGCCAGCTAAGTGGCTGAGATTACAAGCAAAAGCTACCGCACACATTAGCAACGTGTTCTTTCTAGAACCATGACTGTCTCTGCTGTTCCCCAAACCGCATTTTAATAAATTCAGGCAGGACTGGGGTTCTGGAAGTAAGGGTGGCAGTTGGGGGTGGGCAGGGCAGAGGTCCTACAAAGTCTAATTCTAACTCCTGGCAGGGCTAAAAGAAGACTGAAGGGAGGGGGCCTTCAGGAGGAGGGAAAGAGGTAGAGAGGAAATTTTCAAACCACACTGAACCGACAGAAGGAAAAGAACAGAAAACCAGAATGAAGACCACCACCCACAACCTGAGAAATTCCTCAGAATCCCCAAGTTGGTCATCACTTGTAAAGGGCAATCAGATGATTGAGGGGGACAGTTATTGCTTACATTGGGCAAAGACAGAATTTCTCTCAGTGATGAGTACTACCTCCTGCGGACTGGAGACTGAAAAGCCCTCCAAGATAAAGATTCACACCAGAATTTTAGGACCCAGAGTTGGCTTGAGCTCTGCAGGCCGAAATGGGGCAGAGGGATGAGACCACACCTCCCCCCATAAATAAATAAACACACAAACAAGGAGCTGAGGAGTCAATGCAGCACCTGCCTCTTCTCCACCCCTGTGCACAATCTCCAACTGTTAGTGCGGAGCCGCCACCGCGTCGCACCTGCCATCTGGAACAGGCCTCACATATTCCAAGACCTCCTTTCTGCTTCGCTGAACCTCCATCTTCTTTCAAATCACGCCGGGGACTGAAATGCACACCCCCGGCCACAGAGAAAGGTGCCTGGGATCAACCCCCAAACAACATAGAAGGGATGCCATATCCTTCAAGCTCTGAATATCACTTTTTCCTTTTTGGTTTTAACTCTGGGATGTCTGGAGAGGGTGAGGGGGAAGGGGTGGGAACAGGAAGGGGTGCGGTGGATTCAAGTATTCCTCTCTAGGAAAGAGAGGGGCAATAACCTCGGTTAAGTGGTGGCGCCCTAGACACTCTCAGGCTGGACAGGGCCCCTGGCTGACTTGGAGATTCTGGCCTGGGGGTGCCAGGAGGGCACAGGTGGTCTAGGGCTGAAGTCGCAGGCATCAGGGCCAGGGGCTGGCCAGCCTGGGTCTCAGTTTCCAGCTGCGCTGAGGTGACACAACACGCACAGTGACTTTCACCCCCTCATAGGAGAGCTGTGGGGGATCCGACCGATGCACAAATAGCATCCGCCCTGGACGAGACACCCACAAATGACCGCTGTCACTACTACTCTTAAGGGGACCGCTCCAGGACTCGGGGGACCCGTCTCCCTCGGGCGCCGCGGCCGAGGACGGGAACGGGGTCGCGGAGAGGGGATTCTAGGCGGAAGGGGGCGGCCCTGAGCCAAGCAGGCCCCGCGGGCGGGTCCCTCGGGGCGGAGGCTGGCGGCCCGAGCGCGCTAACGAGCGGGGGCCCCAGGTGCGGGCCCCACCCCGGGCCGGGAGGGAAGAGGAGGGGCCGAGGGGGAGGGGAGCGGCCCGCGCGCTAATGACTGTTGACAGCGCGCTCTGGGGCTGGCCGGGCCGCGCGCGCCGCTGACAGCTGCTCGGGCGTGGGGAGGGGGGTGAAGGCGGGGCGCGGGGCGGGGGTGAGGCGGCTCGCGTTTCCCCCAAGGCGCACGCGCGTGCGCCTCGGCGGGGAGGGGCGGGGAGGCGCGCGCGCGCGCCGGGCCTGGGTTCGGAGGGCCTGCTGGAGCGGTTCGCGCGGGCTCCTCGCGGGCAGGCAGGTAATGAGAGTAACCATGGCAACCCACCAGAGGAAGTGTATTCTGCAGGAGACGTTAATCCCCTCTCCCCGGAGCTGGGACAGCCTGACTTTCCATTCTCACACAGTAATTAGATACCAGCTGTCAGTGCAGGGGGGATGGCTCCGCGGCTGCAGCCCGGCTAGGGGGGGCGCACAAAGGGGCGGGGGGGGGATTCGGGGAGGAGGGCGTTAAAGACACAGGGACGCTTTCCGACGGTGGGCCAAGGCGGCGCGCCCTCCCCGACACCCGCCTCCAGGCGCGCGCCCGCTCACCTGGAGACCCCGCCCGCGCGGGGCCCCGCCCACTCCACACGCACCTGCTGCGCGCGCGCCCGCCCGCCTGCCCTCGCGTCCCCCCTCCGCCCCACCTCCTCGCTCCCGGCGCACCTGCCCTGCTCGCGCCCTCCCCTCCCCGGGACGCTGCCCACCTGTCCTTTGTGCGGGGCGGTACCATTCGATCTGGCCGGCTCTCCTTCGGGGAGCGCCCGCTATGTGCCAGGCGCTGTGCCAGAGCCTGATCTGCGTAATCCTCACAGACCCTCCGCGGTAGCCGCCTCTGCTGTTCCCGCCCAGGGCGCCGCGGGGTGTGGCCGTTTGCCCAGGGTCAGGCAGCCTTGAACCCCCATCCTGATGTCCATTTAACCACCACGCCAGAGCGCCTCCCCATCGCGTCCGCATCCGTTATAGCTCCGGGGGCCTCCCAACAGCTCAAGGAGACAAAACAACCACACTGGCGGCTGGCATCGTGGTGCAGCAGTCACTGCCTCATTTCACTCTCTCAGCAGGCCTGGAAGGCTCATTGCTCCCATTTTACAGGTGAGGGAACCGAGGCACAGAAAGCTGAAGCGACTTGGCGACAGTCACAAATAGAGTGGCAGAGCTGGGAGTCAAACACAGGTAGTCCGACCCCAGGATTCCTGCTTCTAGCTCCTGGGGACTATTAATCCCACCTACCCCACCCTGTAGTGCTGGTTTCTTTCTCTGTTCAGTGAGGAGCTGCCCTTCCTAGTCATACCTGCGAAATCTAAATCCAGTCCTAAAGCCACTGCCACATCCCTAATTTCTGCCATGCCTCCCAGAAGCCCTTGCTCTCAGCGTGGGCAGCCAGTCGGAAATCATTCTAGGCCAGCCTCTCCATTTCCCAGGTAGGGAAATCAAGACCACTAAGGCAAGAGGTTAGCCCGAGGAAGAGAAGGCCATTGGGAGGGATTCAGTACCTGAGGACTCTGCTGTGCTTCCTGCCCCCCAGCCCACAATGAGGCTTGTGGGGGGTGGGGAGAAGGGGACAAGCCAAGGAGAGGCAGGAAGTGCTGAGAAGCAGCACAAGGCTCCTGTCCACAGTGGCGGCGGCTGGTGTCTGGGGCAGGAGGAGGCTATCTGATCCCTTCCCCATTGCCCTGGCCATGACCTCCTCCCTCCCTCCATCTCTCCCTCCTCCCTCATGGCCAGAGTAGCCAGCACCCAGGCCTGTAGCAGAGAACCCAGCGTTCTCCAACCCAGCCTGCATTCCTGTGGGAGGAGGGGTGGGGGAGGCTGGGCTGAGGGCTTTAGGGACAGGGGCACCCCTGGGGCCACCCCATCCCACACAGGCCAAGGCCAAGCTGCCTCCAACCTCATGGTTTCCTGCCTCCGCTCTCCCCATCTCCCAGTAGCAGAGTTGCCTAAATTTGGCTCCAGGAGAGAATGGGGGAGGTGGCAGCAGGCGGGTGCTGTCAGAGGCCAGGGCGCAGCTCCCTGTCTAGCCGGCTGGCATTTTTGCTGTCTGGAGGAGGGCAGGGGGCCCAGCAGCCCTCTCTGGGAAAGGGAGATGTTCGTACCTTCTGACATGCACTGAGTAATGTGCGAGCGACATGCAAACTGAGCTTAAAATCAGCATCTCAGCCAGGGAACAGCTTGGGTGCTGCTTTCGGGATGAGAACAGAAGGACCAGCGGCCCATTCCCCAGGGTCTCTAGTGGACTGGGTGGGGGCACAGGGTGTCTAAAGTTGGAAGTTAGGAGACTCGGTTTCTTGCCAGGTGGAGCTGTGGGACTTCAGGTCAGTGACTGGACCCTCGGGGTCCCAGCCTGAGGGCAGGACCATAGTCTTCTTTGCCTGCCCTGGCATAATGCTTGGCACACCCTGTCTCCTGGTTAAACATGTGAGTTCTGTAGCCACCCTGCCCGGGTTTGAACCCTGGCTCTCCACTAGCCAACTGGGTGAGTTCCTCAACAGCATACCCAGGCAAACTAGGCATCCCTTCTAAGACAGCCCTTTCCCTTCCCTAGAGGTTGGCTATAGGGGCAGGGCCTGAAGTTAGCCCTGGATTCTAGGTCTGCCTCAGCCACTGAGGCTCAACTCATGAGGCTCCCCTCATCTGGAAAAGGGGTTCAGAATCTCAAGGTCAGCTATGAGGTCCATGTGAGGGCCTGGCAGGCACGGGGCACCCCAGAAGTCTTCCCACTGGCACAGTTGCCTTGCTTTGCACACTTATTCAACTGCTTTCTCTGTCCGGCTCCCATCTCCCCTCTGCTCTCTTGGTTTTTCTTATTTTCTTTCTTATCTCTAGATAGTTGTAACTTTCTTGCAGTCTCTCTCCTCTCTCCATTCGTCTTGGTGACCTTGGGCCTGTCACTGCCTCTCCAGAGACTCAATCTACACATCTTGCTAAACGGGGATAATGGTAGGTAGATGATGAGCAATGTCCAGGATTTGGGGCCACTAGGCACGTGATGGGTCAGCACTTCTTTACAAGACCTCTCTCTTCCCCATCCAACATCCCAGATGACCAGGAGGGGCAGGCTGTACCCTCAGCTCTATCGGGGATAGGGTGTTGGGGCCCTGCTTCTCTGTTTAACCCCAGATAACTGCTCTCCAGCCCCTCGGCAGGGGCTGATATGAGTTGAATCCAATTTCCTGCCACCCAAAAGCCACTTCCTGCCAAACTCAGGCAGATACCAGAAGAACTTGTTTTCTGTGTACAGAGCAGTCCCTGGTGGGGCAGCCACCCGCCTGGCCCGGGTGTGAACATTTTTTCCATTTGCCTGTCTGTGTGGTGACGCTGGGTGGGGGAGGATGAGGACTCTGCCCTCCTCACCTCTGAACCTGCCAGTCCTGCCTGTGGCAGCCTCTGGGCCTGCCAGCCATCCAGGAAGAGTGCCAAGTGTCCCTTTGGGCCCAGACAGGCCCAAGACAGGCGTGTGTAGGCAGTGAAACACAGTCTGGCACAGCCACACACACAGTAAGTCTGACAGAGTCCCCACAGCCACCGGGCATTTGGACAACGACTCCAGGAGACAAGTGTGTGACACAGAGACCGCCACACACACTCAGAAACATATACAACCATACCCCATCACTGGACAGTGTCACACCCAGTCACACTCCGAATCCCACACTGACAGTAACCCAGTCTCAGAACTGCTCACACCCATGCACACAGATAGGAATCTTCCACAGAGCTCCCCACACTCACCCAACACCCCCCATTCCAGGTGTATTCACTGAGCCAACAAATGCTCTTTGAGGGTCTGCTCTGTGCCAGGCCTTAGAGCTAACCCATAGGAAGAATTACTGGACTAGTGAAAAATAATTAGCTGACTGTGCTAATCCCTCAGTTTCCTTATCTGTGGAATGGGGGTAAGAGCCTGTAGGGCTATCAGGAGAACTAGTGAGCCAATGTCTACAAAGCCCTGTCGTGCCTGGCCCAGAGAGCACTGTTAGGTTACATTGGCCAGCCAGGAGCACCCTCTGCCCTGCTTCATGCTGACATCTCCTGGCCTAAGCCCCCAGCTGCTGAGGTCCTACTTCCCATTTTCACAGATCAGAAAACTGAGGCTCAGAAAAGAGGCCCACAGAACCCTTTGGGGCCCCCACTGACCTGTCTCCTGTCACGCTCCCACTCTGCAGCTCCAGTCTGCCTCACGCCCACTCACCCCACGCACTGTTGCCTCTGCCTGGAATGCCCTTCCTGCTTGCTCTTGGCATCACCAGCTACTTTTGGAGTTGCCTACTTACACAGCTCCTCCAAAAGCCCATGCCAGCCGCTAGTTCTGACCCTCAGGGCACTTCTCATCTGTGAAAGAGTGGACACCCCCCACTCCCCCACTGAACTTTCAGGATCAAGGGTCAGGACAGTTTGTACTGGTTTCTGGCGCACAGCAGGTGCTCAACAACTTTGTCAACCAAATGAGTAAGACGAAGTAGGCTGCTCTTCAGAGCCACAGATAGGGACTGGAACCAAACCGGGGGAAACCCTGAAGCGGAGCCCCCTTTATGCCACTGCACTTCTCGCACACCAGCAGGCACTTGATAACATGTGAATGAATGAATGAATGAACAAATGAATGAATGAACAAATGAGCGAATGAAATGAAGATCTCGGGATCCCAGGCCAGTGTTCCCTGGGCTAACCCCCTTCATTTCCTGGCAGCGTGGACAAGAGCCAAGCTCCAGCCGCCTTGGATGGTGGCGGGGCTGACGGGCCGCCTGAAGCCGGCTGTCAGGAGCTCGTCTGGCCACAGCCGCCAGCAGGGGAGACCAGCTGGCGGTGCAGGGTCCATCGGCCCAGGCCTGGAATCTGAGCCGCCCTGAGAGGCCCCACTTCTCTCCGGGCCCCCACAAACTGGCCTTTGTTCCCCAGGCTGGCCAAGACAGCAGTGTGGGCTTTCTCTCTGCCTGCGGCACCCGCGCTGAACCGGCGGAGTAAATGGGCCAGCCTCCCCTCTGTCCATGCCCAGGACGTAGCTTCAGGACTAAATGGAGATGTAATTTTCTATACAAATCCATGACAATTTAGATGGAGTGATTGTAATTGGCTTTTCAATGGGGGTTTTGTCCAGCGCTGGTGGCTAGAACTGGGTGGCCTGTTTGAGGCAGGCTCCATTTAAATGACAATAAAGCAATAATATTGAGGACTTGTACAGTGCCCAGAGCCCCTCCTGGGCCCAAGTGGAGCCTCATGTTTATGGATCTGGTCCTTCTCCAGGACTGTCTGGACAACCGGGTGGTGGGGGGCAGAGAATCCAGGAGAGGGGCTCAGTATCTCTGGGCTTCCAGAAACGGCATTGCCATGGCTGGGGCAGGGGCCCATGTCTACGGCTTACCTGCTCCTTCATTCCTTGCGCACTCACTGCCTAGTGCTCCTGAGGACTGTCTGCTATTCCCGGTGCTGGCAATGCCAAGCACCCTCCCAGGCAGCAAGGGAGGAGGGTACAACGACTAGCACAGCATGAGTGCTGAGGGCAGGAGCGAGGGCCAGACAGCACAGGTCAAGTGCTATTCCACGCGCACCAGCTTCCTGAGCTTTAGCAAGTTACTTAACCTCTCTGGGCCTCCCGTTTCACTAGCCATTAGGTGGAGCTGAAATAAAAGTTATTATGAACACGAAACCCTGAGCAGGGCTCGGTACAGTGCCTGGGGTATGGAAGGTGCTATATGGAAGTTATTACTATGGTTCTTTCAAAGCTCCAGCTCTGGTGTCAGACTTGCTGGGTGATGCTGGGAGCGAGACTTAGCCTCTCTAAACCCTCACTAGTTCTCTCTAGAGTGGGGCTTTCAGAAGAGCCGACCCCATGGGGTTATGAGGGCTTCAGGAGAGGATGCGGGCAAGTGCTTAGGACAGGGTCAGTGCTCACTCATCGGCATTAGCTCTCCTTACAGTGAGGCTCCCAGGCCGTGAGGAGGTCACCATCCAGTGATAATTATAATGCTGAGTGCGAGACAGAAAGGGAAGAAAAGAAAGCTCACAGGAAGCCACGATGTAGCTGTCTCTGCCATCAGGGGATGCCCCAGAAGGGAATGAGCCACGAGGGTCCCCACACCCACCCTCGTGGCTATGGGACTGTGGGTGTGGGACTGTGTTAAGGAAGGAGGGCCTCAGGAAGGAGGTGACATCTGGACGGGACCTCGAAGGGTGAGTGGCATTTTTGTCAACAAAGGTGGATCCCAGCGGCACTGTGGCTGCAGAGTCATAGGCAGACCCTCCAGCCTGGAACAAGTGATTCCTGACCATGGGGAGGATATGAGCAGGGTGTCAGGGAGTCCCTCCTGGGGAGTGATGTTTAAAGCACAGAGGAAGGGAACCGGCCTGTGCAAAGGCCCAGCAGCGGAGGGCGGCAGTGCCACAGGCAGGGGTGAGCGAATAGCAGGGAAACTGCAAAATGTGACTGGAGGGACAGGACTGGGTTGTGCCTTGCCTCTCGGGGAGACAGACAGCCATAGTGGGGTTTTAAGCAGGAGGGTGACACCATCCAAATCACATTGGATGTGATTTGCTTGCAGAAAATGAGCTGTGGAGAGGATGAGGTAGAGGGAACACAGGGAGACCTGTGAGAAGCAGTTGGGTCACTGGGGAAGGGAAGTGGTTGGATCCAAAAAATAGCAGGGGGGTTGCTCCCTGGTGGTGCAAGGGGTTAAGACGCGGCACTATGAAGCAATCGCAGCTACTGCAGCACGAGTTTGATCCCCAGCCAGGGAGTTACCCACAAGGTGCAGCAGACTTCTCCTGTCTCGCCCGCTGCTCCCCTCAGCAGTGTATTTCAGTCAATCTGCCTGTTCTATACCCCACTCTGTCTCTGGTGAATCCTCTCACCGCCTGCACCTCTGGCCTATACCCCAGCTCTTGTATGCATAAATAAATAATTTTTTTTAAATAGCAGGGGCTTGGTAACTTGGGTGGACAGGTTGGGGGCGGGTAGCAGAGGAACACGGGCACTCACGGTGCCCATACATCAACAAGGTACATCAACAAGGTTGGTGGGAGGAGATGAGAGGAGAGAGGTGAGGGCTGCCTCCCACCTCTCCATGCCAAGCTAAGGCTTTAGGGCTTTTTTTCTGAAGGCAGCAGGGAGCCAACATCACAATTTTTCTCCAGGCAGGGAAGACCATGCTGAGAGCTCTGCTTTCCAGAGACCATTCTGGGTGGAGGGGGTGGGTGGATGAGGCTGGAGGGAAGAAAGCAGGGAAAGAGAGTGGTTAGTGGGGACTCAGAGGCCTCAGTGGGCATCCTGGCCATCTCCCAACTTCCAGAATAACAAATTTCTTCAGAATGGTCTAACAATTAGCTGTGGAGGTCACACCTGTCAAGGCAGAGATGGGCGCCCCCTTACCCCCCAGGTAAACTCAAAGCCTGGTGCTCTAACCCTCTGGCATCATCTGCTTTGGTTGCTAATAAAATCTATCCTGGATAGTGTTTCATCCTAACTGTGAACCATAGCGCCCCCACTGTGAGCCTAGGAACGGGCAGGCTGTGCACACCCATTTTTCAGGTGTGGAAACCAAGATTCCCAGAGATAGTCACTTGCCTAAGGGCACACAGCTGGGCAAGGAGAGCAGGCTCAGACCCAGGCAGACTGACTCCAGAATCAAACACCAGAGGTCCTAACCAGGCCACATGCTGAACAAGGCTTCTGGAAGTACTGGAGGTGGGGAGGATGCAGAGATGTATTGAGATTCTGAATTTATTGCCAATCTCTAAAAGTTGGAAACTTTCGTGGAAGAAATTTCAGGGAAGAAACTTTGGATGAAATCTCCTGATGTCCCAGTCCTGGAGCCTTGTCTGTTTTGTGGCCTCCAGGGTTCACCTTCAGCCTGGGCCTCTACCTGCAGCCAGCCAACTGGACATACCTGAAAGTGAGTGCTGTCCAGGGACCCTCTGGAGCTCCAGGGAAAGGCAGACTTCCATTCCCCCAGTGGGTGTTGGGAACACCACAGCTCCTCCGCCAGAAGTCCTCTGCTGGGAGCCTTCTCTATCTCCACTTGTTCAGGCCAAACACCACAGAGCCACCTTGGATTCCTCCCTTTCTCTCACCCCGCCAGCCCTCATTCCTGTCCATCTGCAAATCCTGTTGGCACCACCTTTAAACCATATCCAGAACCCAACTGCGTTCTACCACACCCCTGTTCCTGACCTCCAGCCCTAGGGGCTGCAGCGTGGGTTAGGAGTCAGGAGGGAGGCATATGTTGACAGTTGAGCGCCCTGGAGACCAGCTCCCACCCTCCCTGTCAGGGTGTCAATTCCTTCCTCTGCAGGATGGTGGTATAAACTACATAGGTCGGGGCCCCCCATTGTGGCACAAAGGTTAAGAACCGCGCTATGAAGCAATCCACAGCCTCTGCAGCACGAGTTCGATCCCCGGCCGGCCAGGGAGAAACCCACATGGCGCAGCAGACCTCTCCTGACTCGCCCGCTGCTCCCTTCAGCAGTGTATTTCAGTCAGTCTGCCTGTTCTGTTCCCCACTCTGTCTCTGGTGAATCCTCTTACTCCCTGCATCTCTGGCCTGTACCCCAGCTCTTGTATGCATAAATAAATAAATCTTTAAAAAAATAAAATAAAATGAAAAATAAACTACGTAGGTCATTTTGACTCCCATTACTCCTTCGTCCGTATTTTGCAGCTGGGCAAAGTCTAGTTCATGACACTTCATGTTAAAATCCTAATTCCCTTCTGGCCTGGGCAGGACACAGGCAGACAAAAGAAGAGTGTGTGGGTGTCTGAGGCAATGACTATCCTGACTGTCAACACCCTGGTGGCAGAACAGGGTGAAAGTTGTCTTGTTCACCAGACTGGATCTCCAGTAGCTGCCAGAGTCCAGCACAGAGTATGTGTTCAGGAAATAGTTGTTGAATGAACAGATGAATGATTAAACCCTCCTGGCCTTCACTCACTTTTAGAGGGCCTCGATTTTCCCATCTGAGAAACAGAGTATCTAATGCCTAATGTTGCTCTCTAACACTTATTGAGCATTTATTACATTCCAGATACTGATCCAAGTGCTTTACAAATATTAATTTTATTTACTCATCACTGTAATTTCAAGAAGTAGGATCAAGTTCCTTTTATAGTTGAGGAAACTGAGGCCCAGAGAGGTTAATTACATGACCAAGGTCACACAGCCGGAGTGGTTGAGCCAGAGACCAACACAGGCAACCTGGCCTCAGAATTCTCATTCTTAAACAATATTTCAGGCTGCCCTTCTAAACGAAATTCAGTTTGGGGATGTGTTAGACAGGACTGCCAACTCAATAATTCTTCCATGGCTCCCTATTGCCATTCAAATAATACTCAAATACCCACCTCTGGACTCGAGATCCCTGGAAGTAGCTCTAGTTACATCTCCTCCCTCAGGTCCCAGCACAAACCCAGCATTCCAACTGCCCCAGCTGCTTTCCTTCCCCATTGGCCCTAGGGACACCCTGCCTTTGTGCCTGGATGTACACTGTTCCCTCTGCTCAGAATGCCATCCTGGCTCCTGAGGCATTTTCCCGCCTCCTTTCATTCAAATACCCCTCTTCCCACCTCCAAGATTTCCCTGTCTGCAGCCATATTGTCTGCCTTTTATTGATATTTCCTGGAAGGTACTATTAAGGTGGCTCAGGGGCTATAGCACTATGAAGCTATCATAAGCCACTGAGGCATGAGTTCGATCCCCGGCCAGGGAGTTGACCCGGATGACACAGCAGACCTCTCCTGTCTCCCTCAGCAGTGTATTTCAGTCAATCCCCCTGTTCTGCTTCCCACTCTGTCTCTGGTGAATCCTCTCTCTGCCCCCCTACCCCAACACTTCTGGCCTGTGTCCCAGTTCTTATATGCATAAATAAAAATCTTTAAAAAACAAAACAACAAAAAGTGCTGTTTTACTGATAAAAAAAAACTGAAGGGAACCAAGATGGAAACCAGATGAACCAAGAAGGGAAGTGAGTTGCCCAAAGTAATATGGGATGAAATCAGGGCTGAATCCACATTTGCCTGACCTAAAGCTGTCAGCCCAAATGCCTGAGTCAGACCATAACTCTTGAAGTCTGCGTGGGTCTGAGCTGCCTTAGGAGGCAATAAGGTCTGAGGGCAGAGGCCACGTCTTACCCATCTGACACCCCCAGCACGTCACACATGCCAGGCACACAACAGGTACTAATTTAAGATTCCCTAGTGACTGAACAGCCTTTACCATCTGCGTGAGTCAGAAGCACAATAGTACCTATTGTACTAATTTAAGTTTAGATTAGGACTTATTGTAGAATATACAAAGAGCTCTTATAACTCAATAATAAAGCGACAAATAATTAAAAACAGGCAAAGGATCTAAATAGAGCCTCAAAAAGATATACAGACATTCAATGAGTGCATGGAAGATGATCAACAACTTAGCCACCAGGGAAATGCAAATCAAAGGCCCAAAAGAGTGCTTGCTTTGGCAGCACATATACTAAAATTGGAATGATGCAGAAAAGATGGGCATGGCCCATGCACAAGAACAACACAGATTTGTGAAACATCCCATATCTTTCTGAAAAGATGTGAACCTATAGCTCTAAATCATATACGGTGTTGTAAACCGTTAAATAAATTAAAAAAAAAGCAATAAAAAAACCCCATGAGATATCACTTCATATCCACTAGGATGGCTCTAGTCAAAAGACGGGTAATAACAAGCGTTGGTGAGGATGTGGGAAAATCGGAACCCTCATGCACTGCTACTGGGGTTGTAAAATGGCACAGCCACTTTGGAAAATAATCTGGCAGTTCCTCAGTATATGACCTTAAAAATAGAAATTCCATGATTCAGTTATCCCATGGCTGGGTACTTACCCAAAAAGTACAAAACTCTAATTTAAAGAGACACACAAATCGGGCCTCCCCGGTGGCGCAGCGGTTGAGCGCTGGGTTGCAAAGCTGCCCGCAGCCTCTGCGGCACCGGTTCGATCCCCGGCTGCTCTCCGGCCACCGGAGGAGGGTCCCACATGGCGCACAGACCTCTCCTGCCGCCCACTGCTCCACCTCAGCAGTGTACTTCGGTCCTTCTGCCTGCTCTGCTCCCCGCTCTGGCTCTGGTGAATTCTCTCGCCCTCCCGCACTTCTGACTGTACCCAGTGCATGTATAAAACGAAAACAAACAAACAAACAAATAAATAAATAAATAAACATGCCAAAAAAAAAAAAAAAAAAGAGACACACACATCCCTGTGTTTACTGCAGCACTTTTCACAATAGCCAAGAGCTGGGAACAGCCTAAGTGCCCATCAACATGACTGGATAAGAAGATGTGATATATACATATACACGACAGAATACTGTTCCACTATTAAAAAAAAAAAAAAAAAGAAATCCTGCCATTTGCAACAACATGGATAGAACTAGAGGGGATTACGCTTAGTGAAGTGAGTCAGACAGAGAAAGACAAACACTGTATGATTTCACTCATGTGTAGTATATAGAGACACCAAACAAACAGATGAACTAAATGAAACAAAAATAATCTTTTAGAGTATAAGACCAATTAGTGGTTACCAGAAGGGAAGGGTATGATGAAGATAAAATTGGACTTTTAGCGGTGAACTTTATGATATAGAGCTGTCCATTTATAATCCAGCACACCTGAAACTTACATAATGTTATAATACAATATTATGTCAATAAATAAAATAGTTCAGAGTGGAAAAAAAAGGAATTATTATATGATATGGCGATTTCTAGCAACTCCTAGGTGAAGGAGAACCGAAAACACAACCACACAGAGGCTTGTGCCTGGTACTCACAGTAGCATCACTCAGAACAGCCAACATTTGGAAACAACACAATGTCCGTGAGCTCTTGAGCAGGTCAATCAAATGTGGGCCATGCATGTGATGGAATAGTATTCAGCACTAAAAAGGAAGGAAATACATGCCACAACATGCACAAACTTTGAAAAGTGTAAACTAAGTGAAAGGAGTCAGACACATAAGACCACATAATGTATGATTCCATTCATAGACAAGGCCCCAAAGGCCAATCTATATAGAGAAAAGCAGATCGGTGGCTGGGAAGAAGACAGGGAGACATGGAGAGTGACAAGTGATGGCTATGGAGTATCTTGTGGGGGGTGATGAAAATGTTCTAAAATTGATTGTGGTGATGTCTGCACAGCTCTGGATATAATAAAAACCATTGGGTTTTTATTTTATTTTAGAGTTGTATTTTAAATGGGTGAATTGTAAGGTGTGTGAATTTGATCGCAATAATGTCATTGTAAGAAAAAGCAACCGACAGGATAGTGTACAACTTATTTTGTATAAAAAAATAGCCCCAGAAATATATGTGTGTATCTGTAGGTGTAAAATATCTCTGGAAGGACATCCCAGAAAAAGCAGTGGTTGTCCCTGGAAAGGGGAACTGAGTGGCTGACAGGCAGGATTTGTATGGAGACTATTTTTTTTCCCCCACTGTATATTGGTAACCTGATGAATTGTTTTTTTCAAATAATGAGATTCTATCACCTTTTCAAAATGTTACACTTAAAAAACAAAACAGAACAAACAACCACCAGTGGTTTATTACTCACTGGCCCTCAGCCAGAGGATGGGTTTGGCTAGGCAGCTCAGAAACACAAGAGATCAAGAGAGAAACCCAACTTCGCAGTTTTTAAGCATTGGTAACATCCATCCTCTTGTATTCCTTATACAAGCTCTGCCAGAGGGTTCAGAACCCTCCCTGTTTCCACTAGCAAATCCTGTGGCTCCTTTCAAAGCAGGCAGTCCTAGAATCTGCTGACTTTTCACTCTCCACAGGCACCACTCTGGCCCAGGCCACTATCCCCTTTACACCCGGATCATAGCACCAGCCTCCTCCCAGCTTCTCCCCTGATCTATACGACACATTAGATCTGCTCCTGCTTCTCACCACTGGCCAGGCAGTTCCTCACTTGCTACTTCCTGCCTCAGGTTCTTTGCACTAGCTCTGCTCTCTGCCTGGAACACTCTCTCACCAGATAGCCACGTGAGGTACCTTCCCCAACCTTTCCCCATAAGGAGGCCTTCCCAGACCACCGGATCAGATCGTGAACAGCAGCCACCTGTTCTAGCACCTTCCCCTCCTTTATTTTTCTATGTAAAACCTGATGTATTCAATATTTGTTTGTTTATTTGTTCTTGCTTGTTTGTGATCTGTCTCCCCCAGATGTAGGCTCCATGAAAGGCAGAATTCTGCTTCTTTCCCCAGCACCAAGAACAAGGCACATTGTGGGTGCTCAAAAATATTTGTTGAAATAAAACTGGGTCCTGAAAAACTGTCACAGACCAGAGGAGGTAAAGGAGATAAGATAATTAAAAGTAATGTGGTATTATGATTGAGATCCTCGAACAGAAAAAGGACATCAGAAGAAAAGTAGTAAATCCAAAATAAATGTGTTTAGTTAAGTGTTGCGCCTCTGCTGGTTCTTTAGCTGTGACAAACAACCCATAATATTGTCAAATATTAACAATAGGGGAAAATGGGTGAGAGGTATTCAGGAACTCTCTGCACTATCTTTGCAACTTTTTTTGTGAATATAAAATTGTTCTACAATAAACCACTCATTTAAAATTAAAACATTTCTTGATGAAAGCACAAAGGGGCAAATGAGGCTCAAAGGTGCAGCACTTACCGCAGGCTACACAAGCAATAAGAAAGTGGCTCATGGTAGAGAGACCCGGCAAACATCCCCCAAGAGGAAACCCGTGTCACTGGAGATCTATTTATTTTGCAATGAAAAGCAATGTTGTGTTGGGAAAGGGTGGGGTTTTTCTTTCCAAATAGCACAGGAGGCTCAGACATTTTATTAAGAATCCATGCCTGGCCCTATAGAGCTCAGCAGCCAGGCATGCTCTCCAAGCAATTGTCCTTTTCTCCTTGGCCCCTAGGAGGCCCAAACAGCCTCTCCAAGTCATGATACTAGCCAACAGTTCTAGATCCTAAAATCCCAAGCTGGGTCATATAAATCAGGGTAGGGGCCAAGGAGGGGACAAAGGAAGACCAAGAAAGAAAAAAGAAAAGGGAAAACTTGTTCTAGGAACTGCACCGGGCAAGACATTTTAGACCCAGGTGTCCTCATTCCAGGGGACTGGAATGCTTTGGTTACTCCTTCAAGGCTGGTTTGGTTACTCCTTCACCAATAAGGAAACCGATGACTGGAAAAGGATGCAGTTACAGGGTGATGAAGCAGCCACCACACTGGATTTGATCTACTCAGTCTCAAATTGAACCCCTCTCCATGCCCTCCCTGCACTTTAACCATGCTGGCTTCTCTCAGAACCACATCTGCACCATATGCTCTGTCTTGTCCTGTGCCCATGCGTACCCTCTGCCTGAAACACCCTTCTGCCATACTATTAGCTTCCAATCACCTTCAGGACTCAGCTTGGGTGTTACGAGCTGAATTATGTGCTCCCAATCCTCTAGTGTTCCCTGTGGTAAATTCCTATGTTAAAGTTCTAACCCCTGCACCTCAGAATGTGAATTTGGAGTGAGGGTCTTTAAAGAAGTAAAGAGGGTCTTTAAAAAGTTTATTAGAGTGGGTCCTAATCTAATATGACTGGTGTTCTTTTAAGAACAGATCAGGACACAGAGACACAAAGAGGGAGGACCACATGAAGACACAGGGAGAAGACAGCCACCTGCAAACTAGCGAGAGGCCTCCGAAGAAATCCACCCGCCAACACTTTCATATCAGACCTAGTCTCCAGAGTTGTGTGAAAATTAACTTCTGTTGTTTAAGCCCCACGACTGCAGTGCTTTGCCATGGCAGTCCAAGCCCATGAATGAACTGTCTCAGAGAAACTCCCCAGCACCGTTTATTTCATGGTGCCTCTCTGCACACATGACACTGTTTATTTGTGTGAGGCTAGCTGCTATCTCCTAGCTGGCTAGCTGCTATCTCCCCTGCAGGCAGTGAGAACCCTGAGGGCACAGCTGGGTCTGCCCTGGTCTCCACCCAGCCCAGCAGTTGCTCCACGAACATGTGCAGGAGTAAAGGACAGGCGAAGCTCTCTGGCCTTGCAGAACACTCTTGCCTCCCTTTGTGCCTGTTCCCCATAAAACAGCAAATCTAAAGCTTCAGGAACTTTTAAACTTCATTCTTCTTCTGACGCAAATATTTCTTTGGGTGTAGGAAGGCTTCCTCTATGTCAGGCTCAGTTTTGTCTAGCAACTTTAAATCAAATTCGCTGAAAAATGTAAAATTCATTCATGGTGTCAGCAATAGGAAAGGTACATCACATCTGCTACCTGTCCATGTGCCTCCTGGAACCCTGTTCTTCCTGCTTCCCAGTTCTGACTCTGTCTACTTCCTGCCAACTCCCTGCTGCTGCTGCTTCCAAAAGCTTCCCCCTACCGCCCCAATAAGATACCTTTGGGGAGCCTGGAGACAACAGAGGCCCAGAAAGGGACATGGTGGCCCAAAGTCACACAGTCAATCAGAGGCTGGTGCATCTAGGAGTCTCAGCTCCTCCTGCTGAGGAGGGAATGGAAGGAGCTGACCTCAGGCATAGCACA